TGGCTAGTATTGTAGTGTCATTGGTCAGTGTTGTATAGTGTCGTGGGCCAGAGGTTGTGCGTCAAAGGAAGTGGCCCATAACCATAACTCGTCATTAAATAATTAAATATGTCAGAAGTTCGTTCTACGTCACGGCGATGCAATTTATGATAGAAAACGGAAAATTGACACTCAAGTTACAGTATATTTATTTAACATTTTAGCTTCACTGTGGATATATATATATATATGTATATATATATATATATATATATATATATATATATATATATATATATATATATATATATATATATATATATATATTTCATGTAAGAAATGATCAAGACATCTTCAGAGGCAACTGAAGATGTCTTGAATAAAAAAAGGTACAGTTTCCATTTCATATATATATATATATATATATATATATATATATATATATATATATATATATATATATATATATATATATATATATATCCACAATGAAAACGTGGATAAGAAATTTTAATAAAATCAAGTTCTCAGACTTGTGGTTGCCCAGAAACCCATGTACTATAAGCCGAAATGCTTGCCAGGCACTTTTTTCAACAGTTGACATTTTGTCTTCCAAATCTTTAGATGCCAACATCTGCCTAATTTGTGGTCCAATGAAGATGCCGCCTATGACTTGGGCCTCAGACAATTTTGGGAACAATAAGCGGACATGTTTAAAGGCGTTACTTTCTGGGCTTAATGCTTCGATAAACTGCTTCACAAACCCTAGCATTATGTGAAGTGATGGCAGCAATATCGTCTCTCTTTGAATAAGAGCATTGTTACATACATTGTGTGCACCAGGAGTTAACTCGCTTACGACATGTCAATCTCTTCTGTCATAGTGTTTGTCATCTGCTCTACTATCCCATAGAGAGAGAATACAAGAATACTTGGTATAGCCACCTTGTAGTCCAAGCAGGAAACCTATCATCTTGATGTCTCCACATACATCCCAATTGTTTCTTGTATAGTTGAGTATGTCCAACAAAATCTTTACATTGTCGTAGTCTTCCTTCATGTGAACTGAATGACCTACCGGAATTGATGGAAGTGTATTCCCATGGTGAAGCAACACAGCTTTAAGACTTTTTGTTGAGCTCTCAGTAAACAGACGCCAGTCAGAAGGGTTGTACTCAATGCCTATTTGGCCAAAAAGGCCATTGACATCAGAGCAGTAACACAGCAAATTGAGTCCCAAAACTTTGAAGAAAGGTGTAACAGTTAGATGCCTTTTCCTGTATGTACTAATCTTGTACCTAGGATCTAGTAAATTCCACTCCTTGAGACGAGATGTGAAAACCTCAGCATTTTCCTCGGTAAGACGAGAATGTGGGGAGTTGCAAAGTCAACATCCTCGCCCTCTTCAGAAGATGAGAAGTCAGCATTTGAAATCGCTGTGATTTTTAACAGAAATCCCCCAAAATTGCATTAAAATTGAAAAAAAGTGATATTGTTAATTTTTCAAAACATATTGATAGCATGGCAAAACCAATGGCAGATTCATAATCAGCACGTCTAACTTAGTAAAGAAACATATCAAAGTCAACATAAACAAAAAAAATGTTGCACAGTGTAATGTATTGTCTAATGGTTGACCCTGCTGCTATAGGCATCACGAAAATTGTGACCAAGTCCCAGGTTGCTGATCTAACTTTCTGCCTCATTTACACAATTGCAGGGTTTCAACTGTTTCGCTTACTTTGACAACGCAACATACATGTACATATATCGTTTCTCACAACTGAATTTTATTTTTCATTTTTGTATTTCTTTGTGGTTCTTTATTATTATTATAGTATTATTACAGTGATATTATTATTATCATTTTATTTTATATATTTTTTTATTTACTATAAATTATTATCATTATTATTATTATTATTATTATTATTATTATTATTATTATTATTATTATTACATTTTCGCCCCCAGGCCCTGATGTGGGTCAATGACCTGTGCCCGGGTGGGCTAAGCCCCGGGTAGAACAATTTACGGATTGTATAACAATGAAATGATCAAGATTATGCTCACGAGAAAACCTGGAAATTTTAACGTTATTTTTTAAGAAGTGATACGTGACGATCTCCCCGTGGTCTTCACGTGATAAAAATAATAAGGATAACCTGAACGCTAAACTAACCTAAGTTAAGCTAAGTAAACCCCAACTCTAAACTAACCTAAGCTAAGCTAAGCTAAGCTAACCCAACCTAACCTACTGTAACTAACGCTGAACTTACCTAAGCTTACTACGCTACCTGGAGGGCTAGGTTAGGTTAGACTGGGTTAGAATATGCATGTATGGTTGGGTTGGGTTGAGTCAGGTGAGGTTATGTATGGTTAGTTTAGGCTACGCGTTAGGGTGGTTAATAATCTTCAAGTAAAATAAGCTGGGTATCTAATTTTCAGGTGATCCTAAATATCCTTACTCTTTATTTCAAATAACGTAAAATTGTTAGCAAACCGATGACAAGAGAAGTATATCCCGAAAATATTAATAAAGTCGAGTCTCAAGGTTCTCAAACATTAACTAAAGCACACAGTATTGCCATTAAACTGTAATAATGTCAATAGTTTGTGATAAAACTCTGAAACAAACTAATATTAGCTGAAGCTTATGTACCAACGACAGTAATTCATCATGAAGTTCCGAAACTATATGCAGCAGTTTATACATTTAGCTAATTTGCATATTGATTTACGCTATAGAGAAAATAAAACACCATTGTTACAGGGGTTTTTTTGTGAAAATAAAAAGGAGTAATTGTAGTTTCAGCAGCCATAGCATAGCAGTATCCCCTCCCTTTACCCTTCTCTTTCCCTCTCTTACCCTTCCTTCTCTCTCCCTCCTCTCTGTCTGCCGGAGCTCAAAATAGCAGCACAACCAACACAGTTCACACACGTGGTGGTTGAAGTAGGTTGACGGGTTAAAATAAGTTAAGGTGGACTGAAGTGGATTAACGTGGGTCGGGGTGTGTTTATGTGGACTCGTGTGGCTCGAGGTGGGTTGAAGTGCTACAACGTGTTAAAGTGGGCTCGAGTAGGTTGAGGTGAGTTAAGACGTATTGAGGTGGGCTGGGATAGGTTGAGGTGATTTAAGACGTGTTGAGTTGGGTTAGGGTGGGAACAAGGCACCTGGAACACCGTTAATTGGTGTCAATGAACCTGTCGGTGAAGAAGTTTTCGCCATTGTCTCAGTGTGTTTGTGTGTGTGTGTGTGCCAGTAAAACGTTTTACCATTATGTGTATACCTGATAAATATAATAATAATAATAATAATAATAATAATAATAATAATAATAATAATAATAATAATAATAATAATAATAATAATAATAATATTATTATTATTATTATTATTATTATTATTATTATTATTATCTAATCATCAGATAACATAAACGGGTGGTCTAATCTTGTGGTGATCCAACATGGCATCAAAATATAACCTATCGTGTTTACCTCTACCACCCCCTACACTAACCAGCATCACGCATCACCAGCACGTCCATCCCACCATAAACCACTGGACGCCGTGCTCTCCCTTCTTCCTCGCTAATTACTGCTATCTGTATCTTTATTCTCCTCACCTTATCCTTCTACCTCCTTTATGGTCTTCCTCTCTGAATCATACACCTGTTTTTATACACAATCTTCCACTATCATTTCCTCAATATGACCATCCTACCAGAGCAAGACTTTGATCCACTCCCTGCTCGACGCTCCTTTCCCTTCCGCATTCCTTTATTCTTTTATTTCTCATTATCTACATCTTATTTACTCTGAATATATTGCTCTCATATTCTGTACGTCATTTGTACCTAGACCCCATGTTTCACACCCTTATAATAATACATGGTCAATGAGTCCCTCTTATAACTGTCTCGTCCTCCTGTGATACGGTTCTGGTTCTCTCTATATTTATTATTGTATACGTATTTTTCCTTCCCTTACTCTAACATTTAATTATTCTCTAATAGCAACAATAGTAAAATAATTACTACTACTACTACTACTACTACTACTACTACTACTACTACTACTAGTAATAATAATAATAATAAAATGTCCGTTGCTGGAGTGTCTCTGACCCCCATTATAATGAACTAGGGGTGTCTAGAACTCCATTATAATGAACTCAAGGGTCTGAAACCCCATTATAATGAACTAGGGTTGTCTAGAACCCCTATATAATGAACTAAGGAAGTCTGGAACCTTATTATAATGAACTAGGGAGTGTCTACAACTTCATTATAATGAACTAGGGAGTGTCTACAATTCATTATAATGAACTAGGGTTGTCTTGAGTTCCTGTATAATGAACAGGGATGTTTTAAGTTCAGATTTATGAGAATGTTTGTCCTCCAATTCGTTACTGCATTAACTCGCATTTCTGGGTCGTGATTCTTAGGTTGTTACATTTGTTTTTGTATCGTAAGTGTGGGAACTACTCACTGATTTTTTTAATTTAACGTAGAGTCGGTGTAATGTAGATACTATTGTGGACGCTCTGGTTATGACCGTAGCTCTTAAGGGCGTTTTTAAATCTTCAGTTATGAGGTAAATACAATTTGACGTCTAGTTATGATTTTAAGACAATAGTACAAGAATAACATTTTACAACCACGCAACTGCACTATTCTTTGGCCTAATTTATATGTTCTTTCTCAAATAACATGAATTGTCACAGTTTGTTGTTGCGTAGTTTCTACTGAAATTCAAAATATTTATTCAGAGACGATTACAGGTGCAAATTAACAGCGAAGTTAACAGTAATGCAGTGCCTTAATCTGTGATATTGGATGTATGCTATGAAGGAGCATTTCGAGACTACGAAGCGAACTATGAACTCTCGAAAGTGAACAAGATGAATCATACCGTAATGAAGAAAACAATGAACCCTTAAATTTAAAAGAACCGGTGAACAAGTCAGTGAACCATCACTGAACCAATCCCTCCAGTCCATAGTTGAAGGCTGACACACATACTGACCTGTCATGGCTGTCCGTGGTTATGTTTTGTACGTGTTGGCGGGCGTGGGCGTGCTGCACCTCATCGTAGGCGGCCTCATGCTCTACCGCCTCCACAACACTACCGTGGGTGTGGTGGAGGATCAGGTGGTCGAGGAAAATGTGCAGAGGCCGCCCGAAAGATGGGTCAAGAAGGAGATACAACCTACGTGTGCTGGCAGAAGGTAGGCGTGGGTGTGTGTTGTGGTGTGGGTGTGTGTAATGGTGTGGGTGTGTGTTATGGTGTGGGTGTGCTTTGGATTGTGTACGTTTACAATAATCACCCTCAGATAAATATTATTCTCAAGAACATTCCCCTAGAAAATTAATGACCAACAGAAGTCCATTATTGTACCCAATATTTGTGAACGTGAAGGTAATCCCAGTAGCCGGGGACGGTGACTGGGAACTCTGTGGTGTTGGTAGTGGAAAAAAAACGCTGATTATATGTTCTTACTGTTTTATCTTGAGTAGTAATACGTTAAGACCATCACATAGGCCTTATAAATTATGGAGATACAAGACAGTTTAGGCATGAAATAAATGCCAAAAATTCTCAGGGGATTTTGTTATAATGGCCGTTTTCACCTCATGGGTTGAAACTATTATTGTTGATGAAATGTTTGTGTTAGTGTAAATAATGTGTTTAAAGGTGACGATTGACACTTGATGTTGCCTTAGTCTTGATTTTGTGGTCTTTGGTAAAAAGGTTATGACGGGGAACTATTTTTTTTTGTATCTATACCCGTCATTGACAGGGGGTTGTCCTGGTTAGTGATGTAAGTGTTTGCTAATAACAGGCAGTTCGTTAAATTTTGCCTCGCGCCTGAATAGTAGCGAGTAAAATTTCAGCCACACAGTGTTTTTGTTGTTCACTGAAGGATGATTTTATCGATATTCACGGCTATTGTTATTTATGTCAGAATAATAGTGTGATTCAGTACAATGTTATCATCCATCTTCACTGTTCTCATCCTCGTCACTGAGATATCACACAATGCGTCCTCTATGGGGCCACCCAACAAAGTGTGGTTTCGGATTCACAGGTTCAGGAGATAGGGTTCGTGGATGGGACGGAGGACTAACTAGACTTTTTCCCGTGATTGTATAGCACATGTTCACTTTATCATGCCCTTGTACATTTACATCATTAGGAATACTTCAGGTGGTGCTGTACCACTGTTAACACTTTGTCATAAGCTCTTCTCCGCCGTGTGCGTTCCTCTGTACCAAGCGTGTCAACAACAGTTTGGTCAGTTGGACAGCCATCAAGGTGCCGCCGTCAGAATGTGTGATAACACGTTGTCAGTATTTATACAAGGTGTAGGTAGCAGGTGGAAGTGAACAAGATGCCAACTCTCCCTTCTTTGTACAGCATAATATAATATATTTTACTGTACCTCAGTTGATTAATATCTCTGACGCCAGTCGCCGAGGAGTACCAGAGACACAGGGGTCGGTTCACTGTTTGTGTTCTATTGTTCACCTTCTCACCACTCTAAGGTAGACTGGTGGCCTGTCAGTCTTCAAGCCTCCTATAAAGTCTCCATTCACTCCTGGCCAAGAACACACTTTTCTCCTTTAACTCTGCTATTGTTGTGGTTCTTCTTTGTATTGTCTGTTCTGTATTTCATCTCCATCTCATCCACCTGTAATATTTCTTTGGAGACTTGTCTTCATCCACATTCATGACGTGTCCCTGCCAGAAACCATAGCACACACCACCTCAACCTCTATTTGTCTATCGACATTAATGTTTTTATCTCATCAGTAACCCCCTATTTAATAAAGTATATCCTCATATCTACCGATTGAACCTCACCCCACATTTTGTTGTTGTTGTAAAGGCCTATGATTCAACTCGATATATTAATAACAGTCTTTTAAGGATTTTAAGTTTCATGAAAATACTTTCATTTTCTAACGGAATACAGCAAGCCAATGTTCCTGAAACATCGGATTTTTGATTGACTCTCTCTCTCTAGTATTAAAGTTCACTCCAAGTTATGTGAAGTCATTTATTGTTTTTATAATCGTGTCTCGCCTCCAGCATTTATCTCACAGCTTGTCTTAAGATAGCTGGACACTCATATCACCTTTGACCTCTTCACATTTATCTACATTCCTAGATTCAAAACTCCGACTGTTAATAATGTTCAGGAGGATTACCAAACACTCTTGAGATCGGTACAATATCGCGAGTCGGCGCAGGCCTAGGTAATACTGCTGTTGTTACGTGTCTGGGATAGTTCCTTATCAGTAGAGATATACAGAACATAAATGATATCACATTACCCTGCCTTACGCTACAGCCAGCACTACCAGTATGCTTTTCCTTACTATTTTCTCACCATACTTCTAACTGATTTACTGTATATAGATTTTTGACAGCTTTTACAAGACTCACTGGGACGTAAAGCTGTGTAACTAAGTACCTGCCCGAGTAATTTTGCTCCTCTCCCAATATTTGTATCATTAATTCTTAGTGAGAAAATCATTTCAATTGAGCTTCTTCTTCCATCCATTGTTCTGCCTTATCGTCATCATCATTGAATTAATTTAACCAAATCGAACACATCCGGTGAGTAATGGCGTCCTATAATCAGCCACAATGTATGGCTGAGTGTTGTCGATTAAATTCGTTTGTAACTTACCGATGTGTAGCAGAGGACTTTCCGTACATGAATATTAAACTAACTCTTTCCTCTTGCGTAAATTTCTCGCATCATCATTAATTTGTTATGATTCCCTATCTGAAAAAAAGAACTAAGAAATAATTAATACCTCATTCCCATATGGTGCGCGACCTCCGAGACTCTACCATGTACAAAATATTTCCACCGCCTTCCCTACCACAAACATCCATAAATGTGTTGAGCTTCACATTTAAACACCCTGTCGTCGTCATTCACCCCTGAACCATAATACTATATGTTTAGCAGCTAGTAAAATCAATCCTCACATCCTCTGCTTCATCAGTAATGTTTGCCTTGGTGTCATCTTTGACGAGTTAAATCGCATTAACCACCGTACGTATAGTGACGATAACATGATAGGTGGTAGTAATGACAATAACTCGATAGATAACAGTAATCATCTATTCCCTGGAGTATAATAACGATGCTATGATAATAACAATAAGATGTCATTTTCCTGCAGTGACCAGTTAATAAAGTCAAGAGCTAAAACCACCCTCAAGTGACCCAGGTACTGTGCCGTATAGCTAAACACTCCTCTTCGATTAATCAACAGATCTAATGTCAACACAATATCAACAGACTCTCTGCCATATTCCTCCTGCACCTTTATTTTGTATCTTACAGCAAAACAAGTACAGTCCTTCATAAATCCTACAGCAAAACGAGTAATGTCTTTCATAAGTCATACAACAGACAAGTACAGTTCTTCATAAATCCTGCAATAAACAAGTACAGTCCTTCATAAATCCTGCAGTAAACACGTACAGTACAGTCCTTCACAAGTCAAACAACAAACAAGTACAGTACAGTCCTTCATGAACGCCGCAGGATAAGCTGGTCGCTCGTCTCAAGGATGTTATTAACTACCAGCATATTGTAACAGTCATTTCCTCTACCTCAATCTTCCTTATTATGTTTCACTCTGAATAAATTCCTTGGATTGTCTGTGATAGTTAACATGTTATGGGATATTCAGTTTACCTGATGATTCGACACCTTGATTTATTTCACCTGAAAATTTATCACCCAAACGCTTACCTATCCTAACCAAACTTAACTGAACCTTAACCTATCCTAACCAAACTTAACTGAACCTTAACCTAACTTAATTAACCTTAACCTAACTTAATGAACCTTAACCTAACTAACCTAACTTAATGAACCTTAACCTAACTTAATGAACCTTAACCTAATCTAGCGCTAACCTTGCAAACCAAATCTAACCAAACTTAACCTACCGTAACCGTCCTAGGTAGCGTTAGGGTGGTTAATCTTCAGGTAAAATAAGTTGAGGTGTCTTAATCTTCGGGTGATCGACTATTCTTTTGTACAGCGCCTCATCTATGTGGCCACATATATTAGGTATAGCTTAAGTCTGTGGTTTCATAACTAGCTGTTTTACCACTACCATTATCCCCATCACCATTAGTCATTTTATAACCCCAAAGTAATCTCCTACATCAACCAGATCAACAAGAATTAAACAAAACTGCATTAGTGAGGTGAGCTCATACGCCCGCCAACATGTATGATGATGATAAGGCTTTTTGGTCGATCTTCCTCAGGCGGAATTAAAACTAACGTTCAGTCAGTCAGGAGAGGTTATTGGGTCAAGTGTTGGGTCAAGTAGATACCACACACCCATGACCCTTCAGGCCTTTACGCCCTTAATTCATGAGTCATAAAGGCAAGCATGAACTCCGCATGCTTCCCAGTTGGGCTCTGTAAACGCTTCAGCGCTTCACCTTGCACAGGATGTAAGGGGGTGCCCAATAAACTAGCCCTCTCTTGGGCAATCTGTAATCTGTAATGTAACCAGCATGGTGGAGTATGGTGGTACGTGCACCAGGTAGGGTGGTTGTGGTGGTGGCCGAGGTGGAGGGTGTTGGGGGTGTAGAACCTGGAGGAGGGAGGGTGAAGGGGGGTTGTAGTGGGAGCTAACTTAGCATGGATTAAGGGAGGGTGAGAACAAACAAAACTTTCTCCTCTCTCTCTCTCTCTCTCTCTCGAGCGTACACACACTCGAAATAAATCTCCGTATAACATAAAGTTGATCTATACTGAAAAGCCGTATAGAAACAGGAGAAGCTATTTACTTATGAGAATTTAGTACCGATACATGCGTGTGTGTGTGTGGACGTGTGTGTGTGTGTGTGGTGTGTACGTATGGATGAGCATGTAAACAGTATTATGACGTGACCTATTTCCATACAAAAGAGAGTAGGACCCAGCACCTCGTCCTGAGGCACCACCAGGACACGTAAACATACAAACAGTCCTCCGCTCGGGTCACCTGAAGATCAGCCCCCAGCTTATTTCACCCCATGATTAATTAAACACCCTTGACGCTACCTGAGGGGAGGTTAGGTTAGGTTAGACTAGGTTAAGTTATGTAATGTTAGGTTAAGTTATGTAATGCTTGGTTAAATTAGGTCAGGTTATATTAGGTTAGGTTTGATTAGCATTAGGGTGCTTAATCATCAGGC